CGACCTGCGGCCCTTTGATGCGTGCCGTCCCCTTTCCTGTCTATCTTCAGCTGTCACTGCTAACAGATTAGAATCCCATTACACACATTACCTAGAATCGCTAACCCCACCTTTAAATCTCGTATACTAAAAAAAGAAGAAGACTGGAATCAGAGCTGATAAAAGAAGCACCACGTTAATGTTATTAATTAATGATGACTCCCCTCAGTGAGTGTCCTCAACGAAAGCCACAGCAGTGACAGTTTCACTTGTGCAGGTCTACTTAAAGCTGCAGTAGGTCATTTTTAGGACTAAAAGTTACCTACTGCAGCTTTAAACATCCATCAGACATTAATTAGCATTTCTTTGGAGTCGTGTTTCAGGACAAATAAAGAATGTAACTGATATTCACTCTCCTTTTAGCTCTGTTTTGGTATCCACCAACTCCTGAGAAAAGCACCCAGCTGCTAAATGCTCCGCTATGTTCACCAACTAGTTGCTAACTATCTGCCATTTGGTGCTGAGTAGGTAGTGTACAATTGGTTTATTTAGAGTTTTTTAATGTTGAAAACAGCTGCCTGCTGCTTTGGAAACACAGTTGAGGAAAGTAAACCAAAAGTTACTCTAAGACTAAAACAATGAGCTGAAAGACGCTAAAACGCTCCGTAAAGCTAAAGGGAACTGCCCTGTGGGTTTTACATTAGGCTCCTTACAGTGCATTGTCATTTGTTCCATTGTTATGACAAATATATTGGTTCATGCAGATTTAAAGTAAAATAAAAATGTTTGCATGCAGAGAAAGTGTATGTTCAAGCTAATAAATGTAGTTAATACAATATTTCTCTGTAACATTTATTTCACAACATCACCAATGCCCCAGCTTATATATTGTGGTTAGTTTGTCTTGTGGAGCAGGTATAATTTAGTCTCAAACCCTCATTCATGACTGCAGTACCATCCCAATCCTTTGGATGGCAGTTTTGCCCACTAATCATGAGAACAAGTCCAATCCAGACTTGAAAAGCAAGTGCTGCTGTTTTATTGATACATATAATTGAACACATTTCACTGAGTACTGTTCCAGGTGAATATTGAACCTTTTATGAGCAGAGATAGGGCGCAGTAATCAAGTTGCCGCTGCGAAGAGTGACGACTTTCATTATTCCATCTATTTAAGCAGGCAGCACCCACTGTGATCTAATTAGGATGCTCCAGCAAAACTGAAATCCCTTCACTAATCTGCTTTAGGACAACACATTAACCCCGAGAGCACTAATGAACCCATCTCATTAATTAGAATAATGCCAGATTTAGTTGTAGCATGGAGAGGCGATGAAGTGCGAGGACACCCACTTGCCTTTGTGAAGTTTTAAGGAGTCTGCTCTTCATGGGGGTGGAGTTGATAATTAGAGACTGCTGAATTATTTAGATGTGAATTTTATTATTGGTATTACAAGCCTTGGAAAAGACAGCGTATGTTTCTGCACAACACACCTTTTCAGAAAAGTACGTGATGAGCTTTAGGGGGAAAACATGTTTGACACACCCTCGTTTGTGTCTCTTGGATGACTTTGAACATGACTGAAAGAAAGAAGCAGAGGAGAGACCTGGGGAAAAGCCGGTCGACACGGCATCCTTTGGCCAAGATGGCCATTTTTCTGCCCCATCTCCAGCACTCTCGGGAAACACTTGAACAAAGAAAATATATTGAGTCCAGTCGCCTGTTCTTTAGCCCGAGGAGAACAATCATATTCAGCTGATTGAGGACAAGAGTGCATATCTAAAGATGGCCACAGTGAACCTTGTTTTTTTAGCAGACGTGACATCTGAGCACAGATATATGAGGATAAATATCCAGAATAGGGAGGAGGAGAAGAACAATAACCAAAAAAAGAACAAAATAAAGTTGTAACAGCAGTACAAGTACAGCTGAGTGCTAGCAGAATTAGCAGTTTAGCTATGTAGACAAACTTGTAGCAGTAGGAATTGAAGTAGGTATAGAGTATTTATTAGTTTTATTATTTTAATTAAAGGAATAGTTCAACATTGTGTGATATACCACTGTCTGTATGAAGCTACTGCCACAGCTGGTTAACCTAACTGCTAGCTTACCATACAGATACGAGAGCGGTGTCGATGTTCTCACTCTATACATATATATATATATATAACTATACTTAAATCTTTCACCATTACTATTATTATAAGTGGTAGAAGCTGTAGTGGTGGTCTTATTCATATAGTAATAATGGCAAGTGATTGCAGTAGTGGCAGAGTATTTATTTATTTGCAGTAGTTAGGTATTACTAAAACCTTATTTAACATTAGATCAAAATATCAAAGAATATCGCCAATTACATGATCAAATATTTCTTCATTATTTAAATCCATAGATGACCACTGAGTACCCATTACTACAAACAGATAGCATCTATTGTACTTAAGAGTACGATATATGTGCTACTTTGGGATGTAACTCAGTTAACAGGCGACATTGACGGTGGAAGAAAAAGTGGGAATCATTATAATTCACAGCACAAATCCTCTGGAGGGGAACCGTCTAACCTGACAATTAACTTCCCCAGCGGGGAAGCACTGTTTGAGACTGCAGTGGGGGGGTGGTGGCCATGTATATCAATTAATTATGTGTGCAAGTTGAGGATTAATTACAGAGGTGTTTAAAGTTGGCAGAGATCATCTTTGTATTACTACAATTTTTTATGTAATTTAAACCCTGGCGCGACTCTCTCAAAGCCAGGCCATACATGACCTGAATTAATGATTGGTTGACCCAAGTCACAATCTTACTTCCCTCTGGATAATCTGCAGACCTCACTGTTAACACTTTTCCTGAACTACAAGGAAATACAAAAAATTAATAGCGGGTTCTGTGGATTGTCCTGAATAACAGGGACAGCTGTTTCTGAACAGATATGCTGTTGCTGTGAGCATTGCAGACAATCCGCCTCCGTTGTACTGAGGTGGAGGCAGAAATCTCACAGGTGGATATTTCAAACCCTGGACAATTAAAACCATAACTATCTGCATAGCTTGATGCCTTTAGAGGTGAGTTTTTTTTACAAACTTTTTTTGCAAGTTACAAGTAAGTTACAAGTAAGTAAGTAAGTTAATCAAGTCCCAAAAAAGCCAATAGTTAAAGAAACACTTAAATGTAATTCTTAATGGAAAAACAATAATCATATGAATATATAAATATATCTAAATCTGCTCTGACAGCCTGTATGATTATTTATAATAGTGTCTGTGCCACTTGGATTGCTTGATTTTATGTAGTTTGTTAATGTAATGTTGCATCTAATAGTGTAATGGTGAGGAAGTTAACTTGCGTTGCATGGAAGTATAGTCAGATCTACCTACTATGTAATACTTGTGACAAATGTGATCTGATGAGCAGTGAATCAAAACATTTTACCATGGCAAAGTATAGAGAGAAAATTCAAAGTCCACTGTTTTACAGTCCAAATGGTTGTATAGCAATTAACTAGTTAAAAACATCCTGGTTAAGCTTTAAAAGGAAAAACTATCTGCAATAGGATTTCAAGCAGAACAGCAAAAACCTACTGTATATTAGTTACCAATAAAGTCTGGCCTATTAAGATTGTAAGATTGATGATTAACAAATCCTCATACATAGAATATAGAAGTGGAGATTTCAGGTTCTTTGTTCCTCTGACAGTCCTGTGTGGCCGTCATGTTTTCAGTTATTTAAAGTCAAATACAAAAGGAAGGAGGTGTGAGTTAGCTAAGTGGCCTGTTCCCATGTTGTCTCAATAATAACAATAAGTCGAGGGATTTGTGGCACATTGAATGAGGCTCATTAAGAATGAAAGGACTGGAGATTATATCAGGA